GTTTATGAAAGGATGACCTATCCGCGTGGAGATGTAAATATATATCATGTATTTCGGATTTCCATACAAAGTCCGCTATATAGGCCTCCCTTTCAAAAACCGTATGATGTGTCCTCTACCGGAATACCCTCCAGATAACAAAGCGGCATTAGGTCCTCCAAAATACTCAGATTAACTAGATACCAGTGGATAAGTCCTCCGTGCAGTGGTGCCAAGTTTCAGTTATTTCTCTTTAGATAATACAATTGAAGTCTCCTAGCTCGGGCTTGTATTATTCTATTACCTTCCAAGGATCTCCATTTAGCAACATTAAGTACACTAATTACTCGATTTAGACTATACAAAACATCGCTAGCATGCGAAAGAAGGATGCCCAACTTGTTTCGTAAATTTGTAACTCATGCAAAAAATGCTTTGACTATGCTCTGAAATTATCGGAACATCGAGCGCAGCCCACAAAGTCAAGGATACCTTCTTCTATAACATGTCCGAGAGGTTGTATGTTCTACGGAGCACTTTGCTCTCCGATAGCCTATGATAAAAAGTGCTGTTTACGACTGGTTGGGTTGATAAAAAGCAAAAACCAAAAACAACGTTTCTGAGTTTCAAAAATGTTTGAACCCACCAAAAACTGAACACGACAGAAAATGATCGGAGACCCCCAACAAACATAAAAAAGAATCTACTATTTCCTAACACGTGTTTACATCTCATCACTCCTATTTCTATTGAAATCGGCGCAGATGCTACTGAGATTATGCACTAATAAAATCGCCAACAGACAAACCGACGGAATTGAAAAGCATGGCTTTTTGTGATGTAGATATAAAGGCTTAAAAGCGTACTTTCAAACATGGAATATTTGCAATTGAAATACTCCGCTACCCTCCGGTTCGCACCATTGAGTCTCCGAAAATACTCGAATTACTTCCGTCCCCCCTTGCCATCATGTAACGTTATTTTTGGATAAGGAAATCAAGCTTTATTTGATTTTGATTTTTTCTAATAGCTCAGAATTAACTATATAGACACGCCAACCAAAAGCCGTATGATACATCGCCCATCAAAATACCATCCGATTCACAAAAAAACCAACACTGAGTCTCTCAAAATACTCGAATTTATTACAAAACACTGTTAGATCAGTGTTAGACAGCAGTGCTGAGTTGTCCACAATATCCGAATTAACGGAACGGTGTCATATCGGTCTACCGATCACTTGAATTCCATTCCGTCTATAAATCTGGTGCGTCCGAGTAGGATAGAGCTATGACTATCTTTTATGTTCTGAGAACTCATGGACATGCAAATCTGTTGTGTAATCAAGAGTGTGCCAAGCAAAAAATCCGCATGCCCTGACTAGCACACGTCTGAGAAAGCACTTGACATCATTGACCCAGTTGTTCAACATGTCAAAAAATGACATGGAACCACTCGCATCTTTTATGGGACATACACTTGGTAACCACCATGCATCATATCGATTACCAGATGACGTCTACCAAACGGCTAGACTCTCCAAGAATCTGACGTTGATGGAGAAGGGCGAGGCCGGTCATTTACAAAAGAAAATCGCTAATGTGTATCTGGACGAGAATTTGATATCAGATGCACAGCAAGATAATAATCACCCAGAACCTCCATATCAATATGAAGATATCCAAGGACCGTATCCAGATCCGGAATCTCAACAAGTGGATATAATTTTTCCGAAGAAAAATACCAGAGTTCTAGTTCCTTGAACTAAAGATCAGAGAAATGTAGTCTTAGCTCACTTTCAAAATCACATTTACGCTAAAAGGTCCTCAAAAAGGGCTGAATGCGTTGACCTAATCGCGAGTTATACTAAATTATTACATCGTTCAATAAAGTAGAAGTTAATTATGAACATAAATTGTATCACAAACTATAAAGTATAAACATTTTTCTACTCAACAACATAATCAGATTCACCATTTATTCATGCATCATTGGAATCGCCTTTCACTAAGAAATGTTTAAACTTTTTGTCAAAGATAAAATAAAGAAAAAATGTCGATTGGTGCGTTGTTTCTGTGGAAAGCGTTTCGAAAATGATTTACGGGTTGAAAAGCTGATGTCATGACTCAACGAATATTTGAATTTTAATGACAATTATTTTGTTAAGTGCGAACATCATACTTTTGTGATAAAATTTACGTTTATAAACAGAATTTCCTTCATCTCATCGTAACTAACATTTAAACTGACATTTTTTGGGTGTATCCTTCGCTAGTATAACCGCATGCTTGTCGTTCCCGAAGCAAAATATATGTATTTTACATACGTATCATAAAAACGAATCAACTGATTTATCGTGTCAAGTAATTTGAATCTACATTTGCCATACTTTGATGAGCCGTGTTATAGACATAAAATGGGATGAAGCCCTTATCCTAATTTTCTATTTTGAATTCAGATATCTCATGTATGCATGAAGATTCCGGAGGATAACGAATATCAAAGTTTTTTTTTTGTTTTTTTATATCGAAGCAGCCGCACAGGCAGAAGCCTAAATGCCGGAACACCGCGGCTGCTATGATGATCCCAAAGAAATTTTGTTAATACGATTTTTGAACTGCCTAAGGTTAGTAGAACTGGTAAAAGCTTCCTCTTGTAGATTGTTCCACAATCTCGACACCCTCGGGCCAAAGGAGCGGTCGTATCGGCCAGTTCTGGATCTACGAAGTCCGACACGGTTCGGATGGGACACTAAAGTCAGGCGGGTCTGTCTGGCAGGCACATCGCGCGGCGGCATCATGGAAGAGAGCTCTGAGGAGCAAAGTCCGTTGATGTAGCGGTAGAAAAGAGCTAGATCGCCGACGGCCCGCTGGTGCGAAAGAGTCCCGAGACTGTCTGTTAGAGAAGAGTCATCGATCAGTCGGGCCTTGTAGAGAATGAGAAGGTCGTGCGGAGAAAAGTACTTCTTAGCCCTAAACAGATAGCCTAGCTTTTTCCCAGCAGCTGCAGCTATTGACGAAACGTGTTCGTGCCAGATCAGGTCCTCGGTGATCTGGACAGCGACCAGCCGAAATGAATGGCTCTTTGGCAGAACTCGGCCATCCATCGAAACCGGATGAGCGCTTTTTGTTCGTCAAAGTACAGTACTCTGTTTTGGAAGCATTGAACTGTATAAGATTGTTGCGTCCCCAAACAGTGATAGCCTCCAGGTCTCTTGTCAGAGAGGAAGTCGTCGCTAGTCTTCTTTTTTCCAGCTCAGCGGCAGAGATCGGCTTGTCACTCTGAATTCCTGCATGTAGAGTGCTGTCATTAGCGAAGCTGTGGATTGGGCTGATCGTGCAGGAAAGGAGGTCGCTGCTATGTAAGAGAAACAGCGTCGGAGCCAAGCGGATCCCTGGGGAACACCCGCGTTGACGTTGTCGGATGAAGAGAAGAACCCGTCAATTACGACGGATATCTTGCGGCCAGAGATAAAGTCACCCAACCATCTGCAAAGCTTTTCTGGGAGGCCATAGGATGGAAGTTTGCTTAAGGGTGCAGCGTGCCACAGCTGGTCGAACGCTTTCGTGATGTCAAGAGCAACGACATGAGCCTCACCATAAGACTGGATGAGTTTACTCCACAATTGCGTGACATAAGCTAGGAAGGTCTCCTGTGGATTGGTGCCGGAAACCATACTGCCTGTCGCTAATCATGCTGAGACGTTCGAGATAGTCCAGACGCTCGCGATTTATGCACCTCTCCATCACCTTACTTATAACAGAAAGCAGAGCTATAGGCCTGTAGTTATAAGAGTCGGTCATAGATGCTTTTTTGGGATGGGTTGGACATGAGCAAATTTCCAGTTTTCTGGGAAGGTGCCGGATTCATAAGAAATCTGGAAGAAACACGAAAGAACTGGAGCAAGCTGCGCTGCACACCTCTTCAGTACAATGACAGGAATCAAGTCCGGACCAGAAGCTTTGTTGATGTCGAGCGACAAGAGCACTCGTCTTACGGTCTCATGCCTGAATGTTACCACCCGCATAGTGCAGGGAACCCTTTGAATTGACGGCACTTGGGCGTTGGGGGGAACGTCCATGGTGGCGTTGGCAGCATAGATCTTGGCTAGCACTTCCGCCTTGGCCTTTGAGTCGAATACAATCGTCCCATCCTGACACGTAAGTGGTGGAAGGCTACTACTGTGTGAGAAGTTCTTTTCAATCTGCCTGGCCAACGTCCAGAAAGACCGACTGCCATTGCACCGCGACGTCGCCCTGTGCCTAACTTTTATATCGTGCTGGTTTTTGGCATTGCGAACCGCTTCGTTATATTTGTTTCTGGACTCGACGTCGGCTTGTCTGTTCTCTACAGTGGGGTTTTGTAAGAAGGTTCTGTGTGCCTTGATCTTCTGCTGGCGAGCAGTGTCACACGATTTGTTAAACCAGCCGTTGGACCCTGGTTTAGGCACCTTCACTGTGTGAGGGATGTATTCCTCCATTCCGACATGGATAATTTCTGTTATCGAAGAACAGACAGCCTACGCATCCGTGTCAGTGAAACAGACATCTCTCCAAGGAAAGTTAGAGAAGAAGTCTCCGAGCCCCTCCCAGTCGGTATGTCCGTAATGCCACGTTTTGCGGCCTGTACGAGTTTCTGCTGCCACAGCGGGTTGTGACCGAAACCTAACCTCCACAACACCGTGGTCTGAGTTACTCAGGGGGGACAGGACAGCGGACAGCAGTGCTGTAAGGGACAGGATGCGTGGTCAGAAAGATATCCAGCAGGCTACTGGCGTGTGACGAGACGCACGGGAAAAAAGTAGGGCTCGTCATCAGCTGGGTCAGCCCTTGAGTAAGAGCGAACGCTTCGACTGCACGACTTGCTGCATCGGTCTTGTTTGAGCCCAACCAAAGCTCTGATGATGATTGATGTTCAGGAATTTGATCTATTGATAATGTCCTCTTGCAAGCCAATTCTAATAAATGCCTAATACAGCGATGCCAATATTAAGGAGGACCTAAAAGCGACAATCTAGATACTGAATACCCGGCAGATGACCTATCCACTGTAGTCTTGATTGAAAGTATACGGGCTGAATACCCGCGCGACTGTGAGTCCACCAAATCGGCGCGGCAAAGCCCGGAACTACGGTACCCAAATTTAGCAAAAAACACGATCTGGGTCATCCCTCTAGAATTTTGCCGGGTGACAAAGGGGAGCCCCTCAGGCCGACTGGTGAAATTTGCGATAGGTCCTCCATAAACGGAGGACCTATCGTCTCTAAAAAGCCAATGAGTGGAGGACCTAACTATCGGAATCTGTATATATATATATATACGTATATATGTATATATTTACATCTCCACGTGGATAGGTCCTCCTTTCATAAACCAGCAGTAAGTCACCTACCAGAAATACTGAATATATATCAAATTTAATTCGTGGATATCCAACACCAAGACACATTGATCCAAGATCACTTAAAAAAACTGTACATTAACATTTCGGATTTCCATACAAAGTCCGCTATATAGGTCTCCCTTTCAAAAACCGTATGATGTGTCCTCTACCGGAAAACCCTCTAGATAACAAGCATTAGGTCCTCCAAAATACTCAAATTATCTAAACACCAGTGGATAAGTCCTCCGTGCAGTGGTGCCAAGTTTCAGTTATTTCTCTTAAGATAATACAATTGAAGTCTCCTAACTCGGGCTTGTATTATTATTCTATTACCTTCCAAGGATCTAATGCTAAAAGGTTCATGCTTTATTCGAATCGCCTTTCGCTAAGAAATGTTTAAACTTTTTTGTTATAGATAAAATAAAGAAAAAATGTCGATTGGTGCTTTGTTGGGACTGTATGGCACGGCATTCTGAACTAATCCATTGACTCGAAAATGCGCCATACAACCCTGATCTAGCACCAACAGATTTCTAACTTTCCCAACGTTAAAACATTTTTCAGTAGAAAGCGATTGGAAAATGATGAATTATGGAATAAACTGTTATTTACGGGTTGAAAGGCTGATGTCATGACTCAACGAATATTAGAACTTCAAAGTGGGAACATTGTCATACTTTTGTGATAAAATTTACGTTTATAAACAGAATTCCCTTCATCTCATTGTAAAACCGTTGTTGCTTGAAAAATGAAGTAATTTTAAATTAACGCTGACGAATGTCACTATTTTTTCTGAATCTTTAGTATGGTAGATCACAAACCTTCTGTTCTGGTATTAGTGGTTTTATTTTTTCAACATTATATATTCAGTTATGTATGATTACCTTCGTAACTAAAATTTAAACTGATATTTTTTGGGTGTATCCTTCGCTCCTATAACCGCAACTGATTTATCGTGTTAAGTAATTTAAATCTACATTTGCCATACTTTGATGAGCCGTGTTATAAACATAAAATGAGATAAAGCCCTTATCCTAATTTTCTATTTTGAATTCAGATGTCTCATGTATGTATGAAGATTCCGGAGGATAACGAATAACAAAGGTTTTTTTTGTTTTTTATATCGAAGCAGCCGCGCAGGCAGAAGCCTAAATGCCGGAACACCGCGGCTGCTATGATGATCCCAAAGAAATTTTGAAAACACGATTTTTGAACTGCCTAAGGTTAGTAGAACTACTATTGTAGATTGTTTCACAATCTCGACACACTTGGGACAAAGGAGCGGTCGTATCGGCCAGTTTTGGTTGTAGGAAGTTCGACACGGTTAGGATGGGACGCCAAAGTCGGGCGGGTCTGCCTGGCAGGCACATCGCGCTTTGGCATCATGGAACAGAGCTCTGCGGAGCAAAGCCCGTTAGTATAGCGGTAGAAAAGAGCTAGATGGCCGATGGCCCGCCGGTGCGAAAGAGTCCCGAGACTGTCGTTTAGAGAAGAGTCATCGATCAGTCGGACCGCCCTCCTCTGGACAGCATCGAGCATGGAAAATGTAGTCGGGGCGGCAGCACCCCAAACGTGTGAGCAATACTCGAGGCTAGACCTTATCTGGGCCTTGTATAGAATGGGAAGATCGTGCGGAGAAAAGTACTTCTTAGCCCTAAACAGATAGCCTAGCTTTTTCCCAGCAGCTGCAGCTATTGACGAGACGTGTTCGTGCCAGATCAGGTCCTCGGTGATCTGGGCCCGACCAGCCGAAATGGATGGCTCTTTGGCAGAACTCGGCCATCCATCGAAACCGGATGAGCGCTAGGACGCTTTTTGGTTCGTCAAAGTACAGTACTGTGTTTTGGAAGCATTGAACTGTACAAGATTGTTGCTGTATGAGTACAAACTTGGTACAAAAGCTGCAGTGACGGCGCGAAAAATATGTACCGTATTCGGAGATGATGCCATTAGTGATCGAATAGTACAGAAGTGGTTCAAAAAATTTCCTTCGGGAGATCTCAGTTTGAGCGATGAACCGCGCTCAGGGAGACCAAAAATCATGAACAACGAGGATCTTCGACATGTGGACGCAAGTTCGAGGACAACGTGCCAAGAACTTGCAGAAATGTTTAGAGTGAGCCCTGAAACTATTCGTTTGCATCTTCATCAGCTACTAAAGACGTGTAAGTTAAGCAAATGCTTATATATATATATATAGGGTGTAAAGTTAGTGGTGGATCAAAGGAAGCCAGGTGATAGAAGGCCTCAAAACCGAAAATTTTATTGTTCAGGATATATTTGCAATTTTGTGAAATTTCGAATAAAACGTGATAATGAACTTTCAATCGCAATTACAACTAAACTATTAGGTTTAGGGCTGTGATTTTTTTCTGAGATGAGCTAAATGGTTAGTTTTAGCAATGGTTATGTCACTTTTTAACAGAGCTTATTAGAAATCAACGCAAAAAATCTTAAATTAATTTTTCTGACAAAAATCTCTTCCATCCCTCAACTTTGGAGGTCGGTAAAAAAATTGAGGTTGTATTTCATTATTCATTTTATTGTAAAAACTATTTCAATCCATGTAGAATAAACCCTGGAAATTTCAGCTTGCTACGATAAGTGTATCATGTCACATTCGTTGCTGTGATGCGATAAACGTAAGAAAAATAGAATCCTTACCACCTACAAGTACAGATCCTATTGTATTTCGCCGCTCTTTATGGCAATTTACCTACAACTGTTAAAGATAATTTAATTTGACTAACTTTTAAAGAACATGTTCGAAATGGCCTCCATTATTTTCTATACACAAGCGACACCTTCTAATAAAATTGTCCTTTAGTCCTTGAAATGAATTTGCGTTTTCCATAATTTTTATGTTTGCTGCATCAATTTTCTGGCGCAGTTTGTTGACATTTGTATGTTCAGATGTATACATTATCCCCATATAAAAAAATCTAGAGGATTTAAATCGGGTGGCCATGGAGGCCATCGTATGTTTCCACCTCTACCTATCCAATGCCCAGGAAAGGCACTGTCTAAGTCAAGGTTTCACAACCTTTTTGAGGCTCCCCGGACTATAAATTATATTTCCATGCCCCTTTACTTTTTCAATAAATACAAAAAAACGCACATTATATAGGTACAAAGACTTTAATTTAAATTCTGATAAAGAAACTTTAAAAGTTTAAATAAATGTTTTTTATCGAAAAACTTGAATAAAATAAGAGTAGGTACTAAAGAGACACTTGGGATTGCATATTATGTACCAGTTGGTTGATTCTAGGTTCTGTTTATGCCAGAGCTATCATCAGGTCGCTATCGACATCAAGACGATTTCGCTGTTTAGTTTTAATTAAAACTAGAGCTTAAAAGCCTGTCTCACATAAGTAAGTTGAAGAAAAAGGAACTAGTATTCGTAAAGCAAGAGAGGCAAATGTTGAATTAACAGGCAATCTTTTGATCCAAAATTTCTCCAATGTTAAAAAATGGAGGTCATTTTTAATGGACGAATCAAGCTTCAATTCTATAAATTCTTTCTGAACTGCTTCTGGTAATTGTGACACAACGACAACAAATGGATTGCTTGTCCTGTGACTCTGAATTGATGTCTCGATAGTATCGGCGAAATTCGTCTTCCAGAGCTTGCAAATGAGTCAAATACGTCAGTTAAATAAGTAAACCTCCATTTAAATGTGTCATCTTTGAACATCGTGTTTTGTTGCCTTTTGACAGCCAGCGTACTTTTGTATTCTCGCAAAGTAAAGTAAATAACCGACTGTTCAAAGCGCTGCTCTTGATGTATTTTACAATCCTTACATCCGAGTCCAAAGTCTGGCGTAATTTCTGTGGCAATGTTTTGAAAGCCAAAGCTTGCCGATGAATAACATAATGTGAACTAACCTTTGCGGAATATTGAATTAAATCTATCTTCAGATGTAGTACCTGCTCTCAAAGATTGGGAGTACAAAATCTCTTCTTGAATGATATGTCCGCCAATGTAACGAACCTAAACTATTAACTGTGCACAATTAACGATGTTGGTGGATTCATCGCAACTAATGGCAAAAAATGACGATAATTTTACTTTGTTAATTATTTGTGACTTTATGTCTGCTGCAATGTCATCGATTCTACGCTTGACTGTATTATTCGAAAGAGAAATAGAATTCATTTTTTGTTCTGCATCTTCTCCTAAAATTATCTGCGTGGCTTTTAGGACACGTGGTTTTATTAATTATTCACCGATAGTATGAGGTTTCTTTTGCTATGCTATCATAAAAGCTATTTCAAATGAAGCTTTGAGATGCTGCGATATACCTTCCTACTTCCCGATTCATCCGGTCTCATCCGCTTGAGTGATTCTGCTTTAGCAGGAAAAACTCTTTCGTCTGCGGGGGTGCGCGCCGATTTCATGTTGTGACTTGTCGAAACTTGTATAAACTGCGATTGACGACGCCGGGCTTTGAAACAGCGGTTGACAGAATAAGTGAATATGATATTTGATTTCTAATTTTATGCGTGTAAATTAAACATTACATTGTAATGGTATTTGTTAGTGTTGTTTGTTTATTTTTTTTGTGTTTTTTCTTTCTAAAATGCAAACGCTTTCCGCCCCCCTTGACATATCTCTTTTTCCCCTTGGTAGGCACGCCCTCCTGGTCTAAGTAATGCCGTAAATCCCGTGCAAAGTGGCATGGGGCACCATCGCATTGAAAATACATGTGGCTTCGAACGTCCAAAGGAACATCCTCTAGCAGCTCTTGCAAACTGCTTTGTAGAAATCCAAGATATGACTGACCATACAACCTGGCGGGCAATTCATATGGTCCAATTATTTTTTTATTGAGTACTCTAGCCCATAAATTAACGCCGAATTGACTGAAAGCTGTGTCGGTGAATATCCTGTGGATTTTCCATGCTCCATGAATGG